AAAAAATATTTAATAAAAATAGACAGAGATACTAGGCATCCCCACAAGCACAAGACTGCGGGCTACGCCAGGACAGTTTAGGCTGTTACGGGTACCTCAATTATTACTTCTGTAGAGGCTAAAAGGGCTATTGTGGATGTGCCCTGTTGGTTTGCCCTCCAGATTAGGACTTTATAATCACGTGGTGTCAAACCTTCAGGTAATAGCTCGGTGGGGAAATCAGGGATGAAGGTAACAATAAGAGGACCTTTTACCACTCCTTCCGGCGTATTGGGCATATAGGGTTGGTCCTATATTTTATAGACACTCTGTGGGTGATATGGTCAGCATCCCGCCAGCTGCCTTTTTCTCCCAGGAGTACCCAATCAAGGCTGGGTAGACCTTGAAGCCAAAATCATTTTTGGAAAAAAAAAATTCAGCTCTGTCAGAGCCTGACGCCAAGACCTTCCGATCCACCAACAAGCTCGGCAAAAAGAAAGACAGGCAGATAAAAACATGCGATTTCAATAACAACCTTTAAGCGAAACAAACACAAACAGAAAGAAAATAATTAACTATGCAAACTAAACACAACGGTGACACAGAAATAAAAAGCCCACGACTGAAACGCATTCTAATCAATGTAAGTATGGCGCGACAGCAGTCACCCATTGGTTGTGACTTGGTTTCTCTCTTCAGTGATGATGGATTGTGTATTTGTGTGGATGATTCGCTCGGATCTATGTGACGGTCCGAGACAATGCCGTATATAAAGTCTAATTCTTGACTGAGCACTCTTCATATTATTGTTGTTATTATTGTTATTATTCTTTCTCATCATTATCATCTCATCATCATCATGACTATTATCATCGCTATATTCTTCGTCTTCTGCTGCTACTGCTGTTGCTGCTACTGCTACTGCTGCTCCTACTGTTACTACTACTACTACAGTTACTGCTGCCGCTGTTGCTTATCCTTTAGACCCCACCCCTTCCACTACAGCTTACACCAAACGCGCCTTTCCTTCTTTCTTTTACCACCTACTGAACACTCCCCCCCCCCTTTTCTTATTTTTTCCTCCACTCTCCACCAAATGCCCTAGTGATGATTTGTATTGCTGTTACTAATTCACCATATATCTTAGGGCCTTTGTATCTCCAGCTGTCAACTGTATCCTTTAAATTCTGTATGTTACTGTTATTTGTATGTGTGTCAGTCTATAGCTACAAACATATTCCGTATACTATTTTAGTACCAGAAGGGTTTTTCAGCAATGCCTGACGTACTGTGTACACAACTTCTAACATAAGTTTACAGGGAAATAGCTTTATTTTACAGCTTATGTTGATAATCAGGCTTAGTAAATTATCCGGATTATGCGATAACTGCATCGTAAGTCCCAGCTTTGTCACCTCGTAAATGTTTATTAAAGATATAAAACAGAACGAAAAGTATTTCAGTAAGCTTCACAATATAACAAACACACACAAAAACGTGAACGTTGCGACAATGGAGCCTTCATCGTCACATACATAAATCAAACAATACCCCACAAATACGCAAAAATCACTTAGCTTAGAATCTCGAAGCAGCCAGATCGACAACTTACCAGTAGGCTCGGAAATGTTTGTTTCGTTGTGTTTTGCGCCGTTATGTGGTAATATTACCCACTTTTTTCCATGCCATAGAGCATCGGACATGTGCTGTTTTATAGAGCAGTCGTCATTCGATGGTCGATGTTGTCAGCATTACGCTGGTCGCCTTTGCTTCTCAGAATATTTCCTAGTACTCAGTATATTTTTGCCGAATTTGGAGCAAAAGTCATAATTTTTGGGGCGATCTATTTTGGTGCAGGTTCGAACTCAGGATGCTGTTGCATATCCCTAATGTAACAATATAAGGCTTATATTTTATAGACCAATCGACACTGGGTGGGTGATGTGGTCAGCATCACACCGAATGTAACAATGATTAACGAATTCTTCTTTTTAGAGTCCATGCCGTTTGGCGTTGGCAGTCACGTCTATCCACAACCTTCTGTCTCGTGTACTTTCAATCAAGTCTGATACAGATAATCCTCCATGCCATGATGTCAAACTTTCCAGCACTTTTTCTCTCGGTTTCCCTCTTCGTCTCCTTCTCTTCATCTTTCCTACCGTCAAGATTTACTCCAATTTTCTGCTTCTCATGGCATGACCAAAGGATGAAGATGTGGGCAATCAGTTCTCTTTGTGATTCACTTTCTTACAAGATATCCTCATTACAATTTTTTTCCGTCCAGGGTATTCTCATCGTTCGTCCATTAAACCACATCTCCGCACTTTCCAAATAATTTTTTCACTAATCTACGAACTGCCTATGATTCACTTCCGTAAATCAAGGCGGGATTTTTACAGCTTTTAAGAATTATCTTTCTCGGCTCAGTTGACAAAGATAGATTGCATAAAATACTCTATGCTGTACCGAATTAATGTATATGAATTTACCGAACGTGTTACATTAAATGTCAGAGATATTCCCCAGTGTTGAACACACCCTCATCATATTAAACAGGTCCGACTTCAAGCATTTTAGATAAAAATAAGGTTTTATTTCCTTTCAGAACCTGCTGAGGAGGGGTATTCTTCTTCTTTTGCTTCTGCTGCCTTTCATGTTCTAATAGTGCATGGGACTGCAATAAACCCATAGCAAGCCCTTTGTAGACATTCATTGTTGGTTGTATCGTACAGCTGAAACAGTCTTTTAAAAAAAAGTTATCTCTCCAAAACTCGCTTCATCACCTCTCTAGAGATGCACAGTATATTCATACTAAGGATAGGCACAACAGACTTCGTCAATATATGTTCACGTTTTTCGGTGTAGGAAACAGGGAGACGTGCCAATGCAACTTGGCACCCGAAAATGCTAAGCATGTGCTCCAACACTATCAACAGAATGCTGACAACAGAGACGCCACCTGGCCTGTTCGACCAACAATGAAGAAAAAACTGTATGGTACACGAGAAGACATGGATTGCACGATAGCTTTCATAAAGGCTACCGGCCTCCTGACATAAGTTTTCTGACAGAAGGATTGAAGAAGATCCTTCATTTCCGCCTGTCCTACATCGCCTTAGAAAGTAGTATGATAAGGGCACGTAAAGACAGTGGTTTTTGTCCTTACAGCTAATGTTGGATTTTGTGGATAGTTTCCTGCGACATAAATTAACCAGTCTTACAGTAACTCTTCTATGTTGGCTTTTTGCACCATACATGTTCAGTTACAATCTGTGTTGGCTTCTTACACCATACAAGTTCATTTTCAATGTGTGTGTGTTTTTTTAAAATTCATTAAGAGGTCCTTATGGAAAATGGTCAATGATAAGAGCTTTTATTTTTTAATCCAAGTACCACTGCTTAAATATCATCTTTAGACGCGCACATGTGTTGACTTATTTGATATAACGTCCAATGCAGTTGGACAGCTTCATTCCATCATCATTCAGTTATTGTGGGTGGTGAATTGATACATGACAAGGCAGATGTGGTCAAGGTCCTTTGGGAACAAGCAACGGAATCAGTAGAGAAACAAGATTATTATGGCCTGGAGAGAATGAGGCACCAGGGTGTAACCATAGGGTCTGACCGGCTCACTACACTCAGAGGAAAGGCAAGACGGACATATAACCAGGTTGTGGCCGGTACAATAAGTATTGGAACTCTGCGCTAGCTGCTAAAGATGAGGTCGGAGCATATATGGGAATTCCCGAGTGCTGTGATGTCAGTTCTTGACTCAACTCAACTCAACTCAGTTATTATGATATTCGAGATGGTGCAGTTATATAGTGTATCATTCATTTATTCGTTCGTTTATTCATTCGGGCATGCATGCATTTATTTTATTCTTTGCGTTTGTGCAGGTTTTTTGCATATCAATGTTTGATTGATTGACTGACTGATTCGTTCATTCATTTTTTTTTCATTTATTCATTCTGGTTTCTGGTTTATACAACGGATCAACAGCATGGCACAAAGGTAATAACCCATAAGTGCTCGGTTCTACTTTTAACTCAAGACTGAGTCGGGGAAATTTCAGCACAGTGCACGAACTCCATAGCACTGGCGAGGATCCTGAAATACTTTGGTTAACTCTAAGTCTTGCCCCGTCAGCGCCGTTAGGCTACACTTTTCGATTTCCAACTGCCAAGGAATTTTTTTTAACGCGTGCAACTAAACACACGGGCGTCGGATCTCACGACTACAGAGTAATCGGTAACTAAACAGAGTAATAACTGGCTAAACAGAGTAAAAGGTAGCTAAACAGAGTAATAGGTAGCCAAACAGAGTAATAGGTAGCTAACGAGAGTAAAAGCTAAACAGAGTAATAATTAGCTAAAAAAGTAATAGGTAGCCAAACAGAGTTATTGCTAGCTAAATAGATGAATATGTAGTTTAACAGAGTAATAGGTAGTTAAGCAGCAAAATAGGTAGCTAAATAGAGCAATAGGTAGCAAAAAAGAGTAATAGGTAGCTAAGCAGCGTAATGGGTGGCTAAATAGAGTAATAGGTAGCTCAACAGAGTAATAGGGGACGCCAAAGTACAGTAGCTAACACTCTTCCATTTCTACCCAAATTTTCTGCAAGACGAATTATGTAAATTGACTTGGGTTTCCAAGTTCCAGGTCTGCATCTCCCATCCAGTACAAATTATTCTACACGGATTTGAAGCATCAAGCAGGAAGCGTTTCAAGGCTTGAAAATGGTCCTTTGTTATTGCTGCCTGTATTAACCACTTGCGGTGAAGGCAGGTCGGGTCTTTCAGCCTGAAGATTTAGGGCCACATTGATAGTACTGTGCGGGTAAGAATTTTATTTTTGCCCCCAGTAGAAAAAAACCCCTCCCCCCCCCCCCCCCCAACTTCAACGAGGATTCGAAGACAGGTCTACGGCATTAAAGCCTTGCGTTCTTAACCATTCGGCCAGCAATAAAAGGCACTTTACTTACATAGATAAATATACGCCAATAGCAATGAAACTTACCTTTAGCAAATGCGTTGCTCCTGTCAAAGAAAGCTAACTCAGGTCGACCATACGGGACAGTATACAGTTGGTTGACAAGGGCGTTGTTATAGTTGAGTTGGCAGTTTAGATAGGCGTATTGCATTATTGCTGGATCATACATAGCTACTGGCTTGTAAACTGCATTCCCAGACATGGGTGCAGCGTTTGAGATTGTTAATGGTGTCCTTTGATTCAGTGTGGTGGGGTTCACTGGTGTCGGACGCGAAAGATGGTGGGTCGGTTGTCCATGGAGACGTACGCTACCAGGGGCGGATGACGAGAGAGGCAAGGGCGACGGAGACGACGATGATAATCTGGACGATGACGACAACGACAATACAGACGGAGACGATGATGGCACCGTATACTGTGAGGAAACTGCGGGTCTAGATATCCCCAGTATATCGTCTATAAGAAATGATGAGTGTCCAGAGGATGGCGGGGATGTGCTTTCCCGTGTATTGCAGTTCAGGCCGGTAGGTACCCCCGCAGGCAGAGATGTGTAGACGCTTGCCAGCTGCGAGTGGTGCTGTGGTAAATGGTGAATCATGATTGTTCAGTCGTGATATCAGAAGATATCAATTGTTATCAGTTTTCGTATGTCTAACCATACCCAAATAAAGAACACGAAATGTGGCTATTTTATACGCAATAAACAGTAAAAGATGGCTGAATATTTCATGAACAATTTTGTTTTAAACGTTTCCTTATGACGTGCCTCAGAAAATGTACAACAAGGAGTCTGGGCTTCTTACATTTAAAATATGTTACTTGTTATCTTATGTTACATTCTTGAGCTCAGTTTCGTGTACGGAAAACCATTGTTACTATATCTTACATAATTATCAGATAAACTTAGAATATCTTCACCAAATTGTCCATGGACACTAAACAGCTCATTTACTGCTATAAATAATGTCTATTTCCTGAGCTCAGACTTTCAGGGGTGTTCCAACAAGCTCCTAAAACTTGTATTTAACAGTAATTCCTGACTGTCTTCCAAACGATTGTAGCAGTGTGCGCAATATGGGTGTCCAAGATAATCCAGTCTGGGAATAACGACACCACACGTTTATGTGAATATTAATTCTCCACACTTGGGACAATTATAAAGGCGAATTGGTCTCCTGTCAGCTTTTAATTGTAGGCGGGGCAATAACAAGAGCCTAATCAGGTGGGTGGAGCATAAGTATGAAACCTAACGATACGAAAACAAGAACTTCTTGTGGACCTCAGGGACGATCTGTAACCCTACTTTGTCAATGTTGAATTCAACGGATGTCAGTGCCCGGACTCATATTTCCAAGTTTACTTTCAGTGTGTGTTTATCTGCTAGAGCCCGCGCTCGGCGTTGACAAAAGCTTCTATCGTTACACTTAATGTTGACAGGGCTTGGTCATTTCAAACTTGACACAGCCCTGCACCATTTCCACCTACCAAAAGAAAGCAGGCGGGGCTATGAATGTATCGGGGCATTTTCACTGGAGTCATCAAGCTTGTCGTCCGGTACACGAAAATTGATGACGAAAGCATCTGGCTCGTGCACAGACTATCACCACTTAGTCTTCCCTCTGATTACGTCTGTGTGCTTGAAAGTATAGTTTTTATATTATGTATATATGTATATTTGCTAAATAAATTCACCACGTATTATACATACAATTACCTTGATGACTGTGTAAAACGGACGAATGTAAGACAGTCCAGCGTGCCAAATTTGTGCTTTTTTTGTTTTGCTTTTGAAAGTGACATTCTCTCGTTCGTTCATTCTCCTATGCTTAGCGGAATGGCTTGGGGATTTCCCCAGTAAAGTGGTCCACTCGTTGTCCGTCGCAGGAAGGTTTCACAGATTGCATCGTTTGGTTCGCGAGTGCATTCTTTACACATATCATTAGAGATGGTGGTTGAAGCTACGGAGTTAATGATTTGTGCGACGCTTTTGAAGGCGGCTAGTCATTTTAATGACACAGACCGACGCATCTTGGATTGTCATCATCATCATCATCATGAATCGGCAGATCCTTTACTGTCTTTCTCTAACCAGTTCCCCAGCTCTCTGAACTAGCCAGTGTTTCTTCTTCTTCTTCTTCTTCTTCTTCTTCTTCTTCTTCTTCTTCTTCTTCTTCTTCTTCTTCTTCTTCTTCTTCTTCTTCTTTCTTTTTCTTCTTCTTCTTCTTCTTCTTCTTTCTTCTTCTTCTTCTTTTTCTTCTTCTTCTTCTTCTTCTTCTTCTTCTTCTTTCTTCTTCTTCTTCTTCTTCTTCTTCTTCTTCTTCTTCTTCTTCTTCTTCTTCTTCTTCTTCTTCTTCTTCTTCTTCTTCTTCTTCTTCTTCTTCTTCTTCTTCTTCTTCTTCTTCTTCTTCTTCTTCTTCTTCTTCTTCTTCTTCTTCTTCCTCTCCTCTTCTTCTTCTTCTTCTTCTTTCTTCTTCTTCTTCTTCTTCTTCTTCTTCTTCTTCTTCTTCTTCTTCTTCTTCTTCTTCTCTTCTTCTTCTTCTTCTTCTTCTTCTTCTTCTTCTTCTTCTTCTTCTTCTTCTTCTTCTTCTTCTTCTTCTTCTTCTTCTCCTTCTTCTTCTTTTTTGCGTTTACCGGCTGTAATCCCCGGTGGAAAGTTCTGGTTGTTCGTCCACTTCTGGACTCTAGTGCTGTTCCAGAAACTGAGTTTTGCATACACCAAAAAAGTGCACATTTGTTTCACTCATTTGCATGCAGACTGTTGGTTTCTTGCCTCTCAGGCAGATGTACTCCGACTTCGAATAATGCTCCCAATTAGTCTATTCTTCGACATGCTTTTGGACAAGCAGTGGGTCTATTCTTGTTCCCCCCCCCCCCCCCCACCAATAGGGTCCCAGAAATCACACAGGAAAGTGTATCTTCATTCTACAAAGTCTGGAATTTACCTTCGTGGAGGTCGGCACCTGCCATGTTGTCTAGAAACTGCACTGCCATCATCGTTCTCTCTCCATGTCACTATGACGTTTAACATGGCCAATTATCATCTATTGTAATACCCGGTGCAAGATAATCGAGCTTCTCCGCTTTAAACATTACAAATTTCTAGAAGTGTTCGGTCTTGTTTCACATTTGACGAAAACATTTACGTCAGAGGTAAAATATAGTTTAGTGGATCTTCGTGGCGTAGTAGTTAAGCAGGTTACCTCGTGTTCTGAAGGCTGTGGTTCGATTTTAAACTATGTCAACGTAAAAAGGAAGACTTATTTTTACGCGTGGGCTCTGGAACGCCACTGTGGAGAAAAATGAAAGAGGAGTGGGGGGGGGGGGGGGGGGGGGGCAGAATGGATCCATTGCCCCCTGACAAGCTTTTCAATAAAAAAAATGATTTATTAAAGGTGTTTAGTTAAAAGTCGTAGTGCATCTGCACGAGGGGCGAGGAACCAAATGTTTACGTACAAATGAGCCATATTTATACAAAACTGAAGTTCTAAAACAAGTCCAGCAAGTAACCGAACAACCAGAACACTCCTCTGCCCTATTTCACAATCAGTGAACACTAAGAAAAAGTACCAGATACAATAAAAGCCGTATAAACTAAATTTCGTTTAAATAACAGGACAGGGAAATTTAAAAAAAAAAAAAATAAAGACACGGCAAGTGTACATTTGACGAAAGGAAACAATATTGTTGATATGAAGATAATTAACAAGACCTCACAAACGGCGATAATCTGGCTTTACAGCTGCTTGATGTTTTACAATGGTTAATTACGTTTTACAATACTTAATTACATTTCTGCCATTGTCGTTTGGATACTTCTTGACTGGCATTGAGTGGGTGCTTGATGATTAGAATCTTGCTAGTGGCATCCTGAAGATCTTGAGAACGGGCGCTTCTGGTTGTGTGTGCGCGCTAGCGCATGTGGAGGGAACATGGGTGACAACAGCTGTTGCTCTCTGATCTGCGAAATAGGGTCTATAAAACAGCTTTCAATAAATGGTAGTGGGGAGACCCTTGAGTCGTCCAAGTGAGGTGTAAATAAATTACTGGATGTGAAAGTGCCCGGTGCTTTTCTCGTCAATTAAAAAAGTTTGATGCATATCCTGTACAACAACAACAACAACAATTACTAATACTAGTACTTCTGCTACTGCCACTACTACTACTACTACTACTACTACTACTACTACTACTACTACTACTACTACTACTACTACTACTACTACTACTACTACTACTACTACTACTACTGCTACTACTGCTACTACTGCTACTGCTACTACTACTACTACTACTACTACTACTACTACTGCTACTACTGCTACTACTGCTACTGCTACTACTACTACTACTACTACTACTGCTACTGCTCCTGCTACTGCTACTCCTGCTACTCCTGCTACTGCTACTGCCACTAATACTACTACTACTACTACTACTACTACTACTACTACTACTACTACTACTACTACTACTACTACTACTACTACTACTACTACTACTACTACTGCTGCTGCTGCTGCTGCTACTGCTACTGCCACCACCACCACTACTACTACTACTACTACTACTACTACTACTACTACTACTACTACTACTACTACTACTACTACTACTACTACTACTACTACTACTACTACTACTACTACTACTACTACTACTACTACTACTACTCCACCACTGCTACTGCCGCCACTGCTACTGCCACTGCTACTGTCACTGCTACTGCTACTGCCGCTACTACTGCTACTACTACTGCTACTACCGCTACTGCTACTACTGCTACTGTCACTACCACTGCTACTATTACTACTACTACTACTACTACTACTACTACTACTACTACTACTACTACTACTACTACTACTACTACTACTACTGCTGCTGCTGCTACTACTACTACTATAACTCCACCACTGCTACTGCTACTACCACTGCTACTGCTTCTACAGCTGCAACAACAACAACGACTACTACTACTACTACTACTACTACTACTACTACTACTACTACTACTACTACTACTACTACTACTTCAACTACTTCTACTACTCCAACAACAACAACTACTATACTAATACTGCTGCTACTGCTGCTGCTGCTACTGCTGCTGCTACTTAGACTACTGCTACTACTACTGCTGCTTCTACTACTACTACCACTATCACCACTAATACTACTACTAATACTACTACTAACACTCTACCGGTCTGTTGTCAATCTTTTTACATGGCCATGCCACTTGATTTGTTGTCTACCGGTAAAGTTCAGCATTGGTTCTGTACTAACTTTCCTACTGATGTCAATCTTTCATTGTTACACCTAGCATAGTACGTAAACATTTCGTTTCTCTTGTGACAATTTCTATTCTGTTTTTTGAAGACAGTATCCATGTTTGACTTTGATACCATAGCTCTGGTAAGAATGTCGTGCTGAACAGTGTTCTTTCAGCGTTCATACTGACGTGATGGCATTTCAAAATCTTTGCTTTTTGATATATTGCATCTTTTTTTTTGGAATTCTCTATTGAAAGAAAAAAAAATTATCCCTAGATATGTAAAGTCCTTCGCCTGCTTTATCTTACTTACTCACTCACCAACC